AGGCATTCACATGGCCAGAAGAAGTGATACAAGGACACTCAAGGTCTCTCTTAGCTTTAGAATTGATTGTGTGACATGGGAGACACTGGCACAGGACTGCTCAGCATGGTGTGCCCCCATCAGAGGAGGTGTTGTGCTCTATGAACAATGCATAATTGAAGTAGCTCAAAAGAAGCACAGCATGTGCAAATTTAGAGTCCACACCAAATGTTCACATGGACTATTTGTGCCTGACCTGTGGTAGAACATTCCGAGCTCATACTGGTCTGATCAGCCACAGTTAGACACACTGTAACTTGACTCTAGCAGAGTGATGTCATTTTGGTCCTCTTCAAGAACAAAGGACAGCCAACCGATTTTGTAGAACACCCCAATACAACACCTATTCTAGCATATCCCTAAACCGAGGCAGCTTATAACCCATGATACATAGACTATTTTTTCCCATAAGTGGTCCACTTTCTATGTTGCCACCATAGAGCTGATGATGGGAAATCAAGAGAGGGTCTATGATCATGTGTCTGCACTGTAAACCTACCTTAATCCAGTTCCAGTGGTCCAGATGGGTTAGGTATGACCAAGAAACAACATGCTCTGCTGTTTCCCTCACCACCACTAACTCCCTCATCCTTCCCCCAGGGAAGTTTGTAAAAGCAGAAAGCAGGATCATGAACCTTTATTTACATTCAAAACGCCTGTAGAGCCCTAAAACCTAACAGAAATTTTCTGCTAGGTGGGAGAATAATTGAAATCCTTGTGCATTTAAAACCTTCATATTCAGCTTTCTGTCTTTTCCATATTTGTATCTATATAGATTTATATCTATCCTTCCTCTAGTCAGAGATTTGGCTCTTATAAAAGGGGGAGAGAGAGAGAGAGAGAGAAAGAGAAAGGGGAGAGGGAGGGAGGGAGACCAATTCAGCAAAACAAACATTGACTGAGCGCAGTAGTATAACCAATATTCATTACTTATGGTTCCTCCCACCAAGAAAGGGTGGAGGTGCATTTTCTCAGCTCTTTGGGACATTTTCTTTTTCTGTCTTGTCCTTACAGTTTGGCTGTTGTCTAAAATGATTCTTTAATGTTTTTCAGCCAGTTGCCTTTGTCAGTTAACTGGGTTGGAGGGGTGGGACGACTCTTCAAATTAGGTAAGGTAGCTTGTTTTTTTCAAACTTGTATCTGGATGCAGAAAATTCTAGTAAATGTTGAGAGGCCTCCTTGAGCTTTTGATTAAAAAAAAAAGTTTTATGAAAACATTTGGTTTCCTTATTAAGGTCTCTTCCATGCCGGGGGGGGGGGGGGGGAGGAGGGGTTTAATGAAAAAAATGTGTCTTCAAATCAGTTAGTTGGCATTTAGCAGGTGGGGTGAGAGCAACACAGAAATTACAGCCATTCATCAGATGCAGAATTCATTAAAAAAGAAAATTCAAATGTGGGTTTGTAACACACCACTTGGTTTGAAGAAGGGTTTTTCCAGGAAAAAAATTGGGTTTGGGTGGGGCTGGTGGGACTTAAGTAGAACTGACGTGAGAGAATTAATTTACTGAGAGTTCCCTTCATATGCTTTGCCCTCCTTCATAAACCAGTTCATACTCCTAGCCAAATAGCATTTTCCTGAGCAACATTTTTTAGTTCTGCTTTTTTTTTCTTTCCTTTGAGCTTTGGTTTAAGAGTAGAATACTTAGGAAGATGACAAGCTTTTTTTTTCCCTACAGAAACATGTAATTTATATAATATAATGGCTTTGATCATGGAGTCTTCAGGAGGGATCGTTAGTCAAATAGCACCTCAAAGCCCTGGTATTTATTACACAGGAGTGTCATATAGCCACCCTAAAACTGTGCTTAGCTCTAAAAACCAAGGATTAAAAAAAAGCCAATCTTTAGCATGATAAAGAAATGACTAAATTCGTTGGATTGTGCTAGGATTTTCTTTAGCAAAGTTCAGAATATTTTTAAATGTTAAAAGAAAAAAATAACTTCTCCTAATCTGCATGGTTTTAACAATGAGGACTTTATAATAAGGATTTTTAATCTTGTAGGATAATAGAACACAATTAATAAACCATAAATAATACTACAGTTTCAGGTTATAAAGCTACTAGCTTCCTAGATTCATATGTTCAGGCATCTCACCACTTTAGTCAAGGTTAGGTTTTTTTAAAGTTGTTAGTGGGCAGGGGAGGAAGGGAGTGAGATTAAGGATTGTGCTTCCATTTTCCTACCCTTTTTGCTTTTACTTTGGATTGTAAAGCAGTTAAGTCCCTGTGTGCACTGCCAGTAGAGTTTGGAGTTCCCTTAGTCAGACTGTAGACAGGCATTCCGAGAAAAGAGTGGAGGTGACAGGAGAAGGGGGCTGTGAATGAAACAGACGTGCTGAATGCACATTTTATGGGTACAAATAGAAGTTCGTGGATCTAATGATTTTAGTAAACAACTTTCCAGACATGTCTGGTTCAGACACATAGCAAAGAGTTTAAATCCAATAATGCCAGATTAGCTACACAGTTTATATGAAACTGAGTCTCACAGTTCTTACATTAACTTTCAAGGAGAAGCAATTTTCTACAGCCTCCAAATACTGAAAATAATTATTCAGCCTTCTGCTGGCAGAACATTTGGATAACTCTGGCATAGAAGTGTCAGCCCTGGAAATGTCCTTTAAATGGGGCTAATAATGCATTATTTTGTATGGAACACCCTCAGATGAGCCAGCTGACTGGCTGAAGGCCAGGTTATTAAGCTCATGAATTGTGAATGGTCATATTAAAAGTGAGACTGCACAGTTGGCCTGGCCAAGAAGTCTAATCTGGAAAGGTCCTGGACAACTCAGGCAATGACAGTTATCTTTTTTTCTTTTGACCAGAATTGTCCAGATTAGCAGTATCAACAGGCCCAGATTTATGGGGTACAACCTCTGTTTTACATTAGCTTTAGAGACCCAGACTTTCCAAGGTGAAAATTGTTCTAAGTGTGTATATACATGATGATTGCACAAGATTCCAAATCTGAAAACTAAAGCAGAATTCAAAACCTACCAAGGAATGGGACAGGTATTAAGTGTACTTAGCCGCAACTGAGCAATAAATTCATAAGCCTCTTTTTTTTTTCCCCAGGTCATGTTAGGTTTTTTTTTAATGGTTTAACTTTTTTTTTCAATTAACAGGCTTTTTTTTTCTCTTCCTCATTGGAAAAAAAAAGGGAGGAAAGAAAAATAGAATATTACTTTGCTATAAGAAATGAAGAAAGGATTGGGTTCAGAGAAACCTGGGAAGACTTGTTTGAACAAACCTGTCTTCAATGGTGGTGGAAATGCCTTCATGCAGAGCTCATCTGATTCCTCAATTGACATTTTTTTGTACTTGTTTGCCTCCTAGATTATCCAGGATAGTTTTACTTTCTACTTAATTTGACTTTTTTTTTTGTTCATTTATAAACTGATGAAAAGACTGCAGCTGGGTAGCCAGCTTCTTACTAATGGCCCTGGGGGTCTTGACCTTATTTTCTCATTTGCTTGAGGAACTGAAGAGATTCTTTTTTTAAATACAGAAACTGCATTCTGACCATATAAGTTGACATTTGGGTTATACAGCATTAGGGTAAATTTTCCTACTAAACGATTCAGAAACTACCAAAAATATCATTCAATGTGCTGGACAGAGCTTGGGATGAAGAGCATATGAATTGGTTCAATTTCTTCATACTTGTAATTTCTTCATTGAGGAGGTAATAGAGCACATTGGTGCCCTAAAAGAATTCCAGTCACCTGATCTGGGCAAATTACATCCTAGGATACTGAGAGAACTGCCAGCTATAAATTCTAAACTGTTGTCAGTGATTTTTTCCCCCAAGGAACTTTGAAGGAGGAAGGTGCTGCATTACTCAAGATGGACAAATATTCTAACCTTCAGAAAGGGGAAGACCATTTTAGAGCTTACAAACTAGAAGGCAATGAACTTGATGTTGAAATCTGGCAAAATTTTAATGAAAGTACAGTTTGAACTTGAGAGTTCCAAGCTGCAGAGTGGGTGACCCCACTAAGTCTGGTGTCAATATGGTAAACCCCTGGGATGAGGGGCCACTGAGTTGCCTCAGAAGGGGTGTACCAGCCCAGGCTGGAAACAGAGAAGATCAAAGCTCCCATGTTGATCAGTAGTGAAACTGGGGCCATGGTCTTCCAGCTTAGGTAAGATAGAAAAACCCAATCTTAAGAAAAAAAAATCTCTTACAGAACTATAAGATGGGGAGCAAAGGGAGGTATGGACAGACTATAGTTTTATGTAGGAAAAAGATCCAGATGTTTTGGTGAACTCAGGATATCAATAGTATAAGGTGGGTGAGAGAGAGAGAGAGAGAGAGAGAGAGAGAGAGAGAGAGAGAGAGAGAGAGAGAGAGAAAGCAAATAAATAGATAAAATTATTGCAAATTTAGGCTATATTAATTGGAAATAATGACTGGAATGAAGCAATGGCTAATTCCATTGTACTTCATCTGGTCAGACCACACTCTATTATATTGAGTTTGGGCAATCCGTTTTTACTTAGGACATTGAAAAATGAGAATGGATAATCATGAATGAGTATAACACTGGAAACCATGTCTTATGAAGATGAAGAACCCCTTTCCCACAAAGCCCTATTCCTTTTATGATGATGAAAAGGATGTTTTTCTTTAATGTAAGTCTGTACAGTTCCCATGTCAAATGCTACAATCTGTTGTCTTTATAAAAGACAAATAAAAGCACAGTGGATAGTGCTGGACTTGGAGTCAAAAAGAACTGAGTTCATATCCCACCTAGATGTGTGACCTGGTCAAGTCACATAACTGCTGCCTGATTCAAATTCCTCATCTGTAAAATAGGAATAATAATAGCACCTACCTCACAGAGTTGCTGGGAGGTTAAAATGAGATAACATTCACCTAGCACTTTGCAAACCTTAAAGTGCTATATAAGTGCCGTTATTATCATTATTATTTTTGTTTTTGTTGACTATAGAATGCGAGTTCAGCATCTAATATAAAGAAGGCTTCATTCTTATTGGCCTAGCTGCTACATCCTCATTCTCCTTCTTGTTATTAATGTGGACCCAGGCTTCTGCTGTACATGTCTTGCATGGGCTCACTAATGTCTGGACTCAAGCATAGTAGCCCAGACAGAGCTTATTAAAATTCCATTCTCAAAGCAAAAGAAAGCCCACTCTCCTTTCCTCCCTCCTCCAATGGATAACAATTCTAGCAAATCAAAACACCTGAGCATCAATCTTGGTAAACATTTTAATTACAAAAAAAAAAAAAGTGTGGACATGTGTCCTGTGATACATTAAGGATTTCTTGGCTTCAGAAACAGATATGCATTCCTGTCAGCTAAACAGGAACACACAGCCTTTTTCTAGAAAGAACTCTAACTGCAAGTTAGGAACATCATGTGATCCAATCTGGCTTTCCATGCACAGGTTTTGTTTTGCTGTTTTAAACTGGGTTTCTTAATTCATCTTGCATCAATATGCATTCTAGTTCTTTTACAAAATACTTTAAACATAGCGGCATGCACTATAGCATTTCCTGAAATATGTCACTATTGTGTACTTAATTACCACCAGCAGGAATGTGGTAAAGAAATGAGGTTCTTCTTAAAAACTTAGATTTCACTGTAGCATATTGTAACAGCCCATTATATATTAAATGCTACGATTCAGACTTTTTCATGGTAATGCATTATGTATAAAATTGCCCATTATTTAACATGCAATTAGTTTCTTTTAGTAATGGCTGAAAATAGTAGTCCGTGTGTGCGCACTGCTTCTGGTTATGTTATGATACTAAATGGCTTTTGTTTCTTATTCCAATTGTGAAATGTAATTCTTGAGTCCTCCCATAAATCCACACCAGCAGCTCTGGTAGCAGGGAATTGTTGGGGTAGGTGCACATAGGTTTTAGTCATCAAGTGAAAAGTCTCTGAGAACCTGAGATAGAGGTGCATTGTGTTTTAGGGAAGGTCTCATTTGTTCATGTTAAGGCCCTCATGTAGGCTCTATCAGCTCCTTTTTGATTTAAACTTCCTAGATCTGGAGTTCCAAAGATAGAGATTGTGAAAATTGGCGTTACGCTCCAGCCAGCTGCAGGTGACAGGACAAGTCTTCTGAAAGTGGGTCCCCCGCAGCCCCTGGGTTCCTCATGACTCTTCTGATAGACTTTGCTGAGAAGCCGTGTCATCCAAGCCCATGTCCTCTTGGCTGGCCCTCCGACAGATCACACTAAGACTTTCTGCCATTGCCTGAGGAAGATGTTGATCTGGAAGCCGACCCTGTTCCGTGGCATATGTCGTTTCACAAGGCTCAGAAAACTGTTTCCAAAATAAAAAAGTATGCAAATAGCTTAGCACATGTCCCTAGTTTAGCACTCTCTAGTAGCATGCATTTCTGTGAATAGGCCCCGTGTATCACAGGGATGGTCCAAAGTAACCTTGGAAACTTCGGTGAAACTTTGGGTTAATTAGAGGTCGTATTCTCTAAACTGGAATAGATTGATCAATAGTCTTAGGTCAGAAAATAGTTGATGATGGCCTACTTCAAATTCTATATTTAGCATGGGGTCTTGCAAAGTGTAGAAGCTTTTTCTCATATAATATGGGCATCAATGTATTGGAATGACATGACCTTTGGAAATATTTCTAGATTTCCTGTGCTTCCATTTCTATTATGTTTTATATCCTTACCAAATATCTTAAATGCCAAAATTATGATGTTTTGAGTCACATCTCAATTAAGAGGCATTTTTGTTTTAGCTGAAGTTGGCTTTGGCTAAATAATACTTCTATGTGGTAGAGAAGAGGGAGAAAGGGCATATATGATATATCACAAAGCTGGTATTTTCCTTGCCTTCAATGAGAGACAAAAGAAATAAAAAACAGGGATACTCCGCTTTTTCGCAGAAGTGGAGGGCTATGGGAATGGAACATTGTATACAATGTCATACATTTTTAATATGATGGTGAGTTTTGCTGAACTAGTTTTTTTCCCCTCTTTTTATTCTTTCCTCTCTGGGAGTAGGAAGAGGAAGAATACACAGGCAATATAAAAACAAAAGATACTAATGAAGACTTTTTTTTTTAAGCCTGGGAGTAGTTTTTCTAGAGACACAGCTTTAAACATTTCTTCCCAGTCATTCATAGAGAGCCATTCCATGATAGGAAATTACAATTCTGGTATCCTTTTCATCAATGGCTCCCTCCCAAGAATGACAATTTGTAATCCAGGGTCACTATGTCTTCTGACCCCTCCTCTAAGTGACTTTTAAAAGTCAGCAACAAGGTTGAGGGTCCAAATGGTGTAAACACTAAATAGGGACGGGGACTGGACCTGTGATTTTATCAATATGGGGAACTCCCTGCAAGGAAACTCCCTCTATTAATGAATTCTTTCTTTCTCTGTAATTTATAGTCTTCCTCCCCTTTTTTAGTATTTAATTTTTTCCTAATTACATGTAAAAACAATTTTTAACATTCATTTAAAAAAACTTTTAGCTCCCATGTAACTTATAGTCTCAAAGAATTGCTTAAATCACTGAGACTTTACTTGAACAGAGTCATACAGCCAGAAGTGAGACTTGAACCTAGGTCTTTCTGACTACGAGGTCAGCTCTCTAGCTCTCTAGTCCATGCTGCTTTTCAAATGATGAAATGGAACATGGGAAACTTCCAACTTCTAAGATTCCATTTGCTAATGCAACCAACACATGTCCATAGCACAAACACCATTAAGAGAAAACAGCTGGAGCCTTGAGTTTCTCTGAAACTAATGTAGCTTCTGTATTAATGTAATGTTATCTACTTGGGGCTCTGGACTGGCAGAAATTCCCAGCATTTTACTACTTAAAAGTAGTATACATCTCACTACCTTGAAAACTGTGGCTAATAATGGACAGCATACAGATCAGACCTTCGTGTTCTTTTTTTCTTTCCTCTATTTTTTCTTTCCTTTCAGACCGAGATAATCTGAAGAGACTGGGCCAAACAGATTGATAGAAAATGCTGCCTCCTGTATGGATAAGTGAAGAACATGTTGTTTTGTCCACCCAAAGATTTTGTGCTAATGACAGCATTTCTACTGAGCTCAGTTCTATCTGGCAATCTCCAGCCGAACCAGGATATTATTATTTATAGTACATGCACTCTAGATCTCATTTGCTGCACAGAACTGCCAAACCATTTCATGTCTAATTACTTTGTCATTTATCACTCTGGGAACCCCATAGTGAAGAAGATGGAATCCTGGAAGTAGATTGATGGGAATCATTAAGCATCAAATGTTAAAACAATGTCGACAAGTAGCCAAATAACTAGATTACTCCTGCTAACACAGAGCCATCTTACCCTTGTAGTTTGGCTCATGGCTCTAGCAGAGGGGCCCATTGCAATGTTGACACTACTGGAAGACAGGGTATCACTGGTATTTCCTCCATCGGCAGCTGAGAGCCCAGAAATAACCAGTGCACTGGAAAAACTTCTCTTGCCAAACAAGAAACTGAGGGTAGAGCTGGTGGATGAGCCTAGGCTGGATCTGATTAGCGCCTCAGCTCTCTCTCGGACATTGAGGTGGCGGTCGTAGAAATAGGATGAGGCTGAGAGTGCAGCGATGTGGTGGAATTGTGCAAGGAGAGCTGACTGCTGGACAGCCTTTGGGCTATTTCGTGGACCGACGTGGAAGTCTGGAGCAAAGATGGATGGCTTTCTAAAACCGGCCCAGACAAACTTGAAATGGGTGGTCTTTGGATGAAAGTGGCATGTGCCTGAGCAGACTGACTCCGGCCTTTTCTTCTGCCTTAACAAGAACAAAACAAATATTTTGTCAGTGAGTATTACCACCACCACCACCACCCCAAATCCTCCGTTCAATGTGGTACAATAGATGGAGTGTTGGATTTGAAGCAATAAATATCTGGATTTGTTACTTACTGACTGTACCCTGGACAGTTCAATTCACCTCTTTGGCATTCAGTTTGCTTATGTGTAAAATAGTGCAGGGAGGAAGGTTGGACTTAACCTTTCTAGCTCTGAATCTATGACCATGTAATTTCTGTTTGATGAATAAAAACAAAACTTGTAATTGCTTTGGAAAACCTTAAAGTGATACATCAATATGAGTTGTCACTGCAAGGAATTCAGGCTCTTCTGTCAATAAAAGAATCATAGGACCTTGGAGGTGGTAAGGACCTTATATGTTATCTAGTCCAGGTGCTTTACTTTACAGGTGACTGGATCAAGGATTAGAGAAATCACACAGGAAGTTAGTGGAAGAAGTGCCTCAAATCCAGGCCTACTGACTCCCAGTAGTTTTTTTTTCCCCTTTTTTTGTTTTTTGTTTTCTTTTTTTAAACTACTTATTACATTATTGGAATTGAAATTACTAATTCAAAACAGGTAAAGCACCTGAAAAACAACCTGCTCAAGTCAAATAACAATCACTGCCAAAGTCTAAGTGCTAGAGATAAGACTCTTACTTAATTCTTGGGGCCTTAGTGAAAAAGAAAAAAGAAAAAGAAAGCAAGATAAACTTGATCACTTTAAATTTCCCTAAAGCAGGGGAAGGATCTGAAAATTTTTAATGTCATATGCTCCTTTGCAATCTGGTGAAGTCAATGGACCCCTTTTTCAGAATAATGTTTTTAAATGTATAAAATAAAATACATAGGTTTATATTGCAATATAATTGCATTCAAATACAACCATCAAAATATATTTTAAAAAGTTCCCAGGCCCTAGGTTAAGAACCCTTGTACCTAAAGCAATTAATAAACTGAAATAAATGGTGTCGGTTTTGGTCTTAGGGCTTGCTCCTCAAAGATTATGACCTCTATATCCCTAGTGACTAGCATAGTATCTTGCAGGAGGTAGGTGTTTAATTCAATAAACATTTATTAAGTGCCTTCTATATGCCAGACACTGTTCTAAGCATTGGGGAGCTAATTAATTAAAAATAAAGACAGTCCCTGTTCTCAAGCAGCTTACAACTAAAAGGGGAGACCACACAATAGGTGGCAGGAGAGGAAGGGGGTGACCAGACACCTGCAGACATCTTATTCTGGGAAGTTAAAAGCAGGCAGGGCAGCAGAGAGTGAATTGAGTCTCATTTCTGCCCTCTATAAAGGAAAGCATTGAGAGAAGTTTGGTACTCTGCCCTCCAGCCCTCCAATCAGAGGTTAGAAGGCTGAGGGAGGTAGGGTCAGTCAAGGGTTGAGTTAGCAGCAAGATGATGGTTAGTTTGGAGGTGAGATGCTTAAGAGGTGTTATTGAATTGAATCATTCGATACGTTGTGGTGTTTTTTTTTTTAACTGAATATAGTGCCTGTTACTCCAAAGGAATTCCCACTTGAAGAATCTAGGAGGTGCAGCAGAGAGAGCATTAGATCAAGAATCAGGAAGAACTGATTTAAAATCAGACCCAGATACTAGCTGTGTGACCCTGGGCAAGTCACTTAACCTCTGTTTGCTTCAGTTTCCTCAACTGTAAAATAGGGAGAATAATAGCATCTACCTCACAGAGTTATTGTGAGGATCAAATGAGTTAATATTCATAAAGCACTTGGCACAGTGCCTGGAATTAGTAGGCCCAATATAAATTCTAGATACTACTATTATTTTTATTATTATGATTACCAAATAATAATATCTAGCATTTATATAACACTTTAAGGTTTACAAAGCAGTTTACAAATTCCATATCATTTAATCTTCACAACCGCACTGGGAGTTAGATGTTATCCCCTTTTTACAATTGAGGAAACTAAGGTAGATGTTATTCAAGGTTCTTCTGTTTGAAGACCTTCACTGAGGGAGAATTCGCCACCTTCTAAGGCAACTCATCCCACTTTTAGGCAGTTGTGACTGATAGGAAGCCTTTCTTAACATCATACTTAAATTTGTTTCTTTGCAGTTTCTGCCTATTTTTCTTGCAGCATGCTGCCCCGCCTTTTTTTGTACGTAAACATTTTTATTTTTTGCCTAAAGGGATACAAAAAGAGATATTTGTATGAGAAAAACAACTTGAGACAGTTCTAAGAATCAGAGGGAAACATAAATATAGTGAGAGGACCTGTTTGAAAGCAGGCTTAAGTACTGACTGAAGGCAGGGATGGCCACATGACATTGCTGTCCATCGGTTTATTTTCATGTCACGGTTTTCAGGGTTTTGAAGGGTACAGCTAAGAAACTTACACATCACAGAACTGTTTGGGGACTGTGAGAAAAGTGTGTAGTGTCATGCCCGATAGAACTGTGGGTTCTGAGTTTATCAACCTGGGGTGAGTTACTGAGATGTGTCGCTCCTTATGAGGATGCTTTGATTTGACTCATTAAAGGTGATAAGGGAAAAGAGGAGATAAGATCCCCTCAAGGAGATGCTGATAATGGAGACAGCCCCTTCCAGCTTGAGAGACACGAGGTGGAGGAGAATTAGAAGATAAAACCAGCTGCTTTGGGTTTGGTGAAGCCAAACAAACAGGCTCAGAGGATTCTGGGGATCCCTGGAAGAAAGCAGAATTCTCTTTCTGCATAAAGAGTTGGTCGGGTTTATTGCCCTTTGTGCAATCTACAGCCTGAGACAGGTAAAGCCTCCCAGAAGCTTACCTGTGTTGTCCTGTACTGCCCTCTGTGGCTTAAAAGGGATAAAGAGAAAGGGGTAAAGATAGGCTGTGCATCTAATTTGCTGTGAGTTTTGCTGACTGGAGAACAGATGTTGTTTTACTGAGAGCTGATTGGAAAAAACAGAATCCTGTGTTATTTGAAGACCTGTCTGGGAAAGGCTGCATTGTCCTATAGCTATTGATAACTTGGGAGAGGGGAAACCTACAGTGGTTTGGTTGCATTTCCTTTTATTGCCTTTTATGGGCTTGAGAAGGGGAAAACTCTCATAGGCCATCCAGAACAGACCTAATTAGCGTGGCAGATTCCAGACTTAAAGGAAATGCTGTCACCATAACTTTATGAAACGACTTAAAAATCATACCCTTCTGCTCTTTTCTCCCCAAAGATCAGAAACACCATGATCTTTGGGTTCTCCTCCTCTGATGAGTCTTCAGTCTCCTTTGCTGTGTCTTCATTGTCTTCCTAACCTCTTAATAGGAGGATTCCTTAGTGGTCCATCCTCAGCCTTCTTCCTTTACTAATTCCCTCTTTGCAGTTTCATTTATTTCAGTGGCATCAACTCCCTCTTTAACCTCTTAGTGGTAGTCAGTAATAAAATCGTATCAACTTCACTTTCATAACATCCCTTGCAACTGCACTTTTTTCTCCCTTCGTCCCAACCTAGATCAGGTCTTTTATCAGCATTGCCTGGATGTTAAAAAAAACATTCCAACAAGCCTTCCTGCCTCTGATCTATCTCCTTTGTCCTTCATATTATTTCCAGAATAATTTTTCTTATGCATCTCTCTGGCTAAAAAAGAAACCCCAAAAATCTTCAGTAGATTCTTATTGCCTACTGAATAAAATTCTGATTCCTTTGTCTGGCATATACTTTCATCATCTGGTTGTTCAGTTGTGTCTGACTCTTCGTGGCCTCATTTGGCTTTTTACTGGAGTAATTTGCCATTTCTTCTCCAGTTCATTTTACAGATAAGGAAACTGGGGCAAACAGGGGCAAGTGACTTGCCCAGAGTCACACAGCTGGTAAGTGTCTGAGACTGAATTTGAATTCAGGTCTTCCTGACTCCAGGCTTGGTGTTCTATCCACTGTACCACCTACCAGCCCTAATATCATCTGGTACCATCCACCTTTTCCAGCTTTATCTCAATTGTATTCCACTCTACTTCTTGCTTTGCCCAAAAACACATACTGGGCTCTCAGATCTTCATACCTTTAAAAAAATTATCGATGTTTTTGTTTTTATGTTACTGTAATTTCTGAACAAACTCTATCCCTAATATTTTCTTTGAAGACTGCTTTGCAGCCTTTGACATTGTTGAAGACCCTCTTGTTTTTAATACTCTAGGTTTTTGTGACACTACTCTATTGTGGTTATTTTCCAATATGTAGTTAGATCATCCCTTCACAATCATGTTTGCTGGATGTTCATCCAAGTCATGACATTGAGTGTCCTTCAAGAACATTCTGTCTTCTCTTTCTCCTCTATACTATTTTGTTCAGTGATATCATCAGCTCCCATGGATTCAATTTTCACCTCTCTTAACCTCCAGACTGGCATTTCTAACTCCCTTTTGAATATGTCAAACTGAAAGTTCTATAAATGTCCTAAACTCAACATGTCCAAAACGAAACTCATCTTTTCATCCCAGGTCTTCACCTCTTCCTAACTTTCCTATTACTGTGAAGGGTACTACAATCCTCCCATTACCCTGGCTTACAACCTAGATGTCATCCTTAATCCCCTCTTCTTTCCCCCACATCCAATCTGTTGCCAAGACCTTTTGAATCAACATTTATAACATTTCTTGTATATACACCCCCATTTCTCCTCTGACGCCGACCCAACCATACTTCAGGCCCTCATCGTCTTAATGTCTGGACTATTGCTGTAGTCTTCCATCTGGTCTCCTTGCCTCAGGGCTGTCCCCATTCCTATTAAACTGGTCTTCCTAAAGAGTAGGTTTGACTAGGTCATCTTATTTGATAAACTTCAGTGCCTCCATATCCCCTCCAGAATCCAAGATAAAATCTTCCATTTGATGTTCAAGACCCTTCCTAACCTAGACTTTTCCTACCCTTCAAGTCTTCTTACCCCTTACTCTGTCCAACATACTCTTTTTAATATGTGTGTGTGTGTGTGTGTGTGTTTAGTGTATTTTTAATTTATGGAATAAAAC